TTATTTTTATCCATTTAATTGCCTTATTGCTACTTATTGATAGCATAGTGTCTTATTTTATATTAATGAATGGTTTATTTTCTTTCTTATAAAGAAAAATACCTTCTTTTGTTAGGCTTCTTCTTTATAGACAGTGATTCTTATAATATCTGTCAAACAATTGATTTCCCTGAAACAAAAATTACATGTATATACAATTTATGTTAATTAATATACATTAATATTATATAATTTCATTTTTATATTTAAAGTTGGCTGAATAAAAAGGGGTTAAAAGGAAGAAAACTTATTTTTAAAATCATGATAGAGAGTATAATATTGTTCCATTTGTGAAGAAAGGTTCAAAGAGTGGTTACTTTTCTGTATCATTTCATTCTCATGCATAACCTATATATTTCTGTAGGTTAAATCATGTGCTTGAAAAACTAGGAGTTTAGTTTTGCTCTTTATCTTTATGCTCTGCTCTGCTGTAATAACTCCACCTTAATACCTTTCTGAATGTGTCAAAATTACCTATAATATTATGACCAATCTACTTGAAAAGTGATATCAAGAGGGCCTACTTGGACTTATTTCTTCTTCAAGATGTCGCATCTTTATAGGATTAAAATATAGAGATCATATAGATGAAATTTTGGTGGTGTGCCCAGGGACATTCTGAATAATGAATGGATAGGTGGGCATAGATGATCTACTCTGAAACTGAGAAGAATATCACTGCTGTCTAACTGGGTAGTATAGTTCAAAAATAATGATTTTAGGGGGAAATAACCCTTTTTTATTACAATAAGAAAGTACCATTGACTTATCAGACTTCTAGATAAGGTGGTAAATTGGAAGCTCAAAGGTTTAAACCAGTCCAAATTTGTAAATGATTAAAATACATGAGATGATTTCAAATAACAATCTTAATCTACTTTTTTCTTGAAAAATTGGTGTTTTGGGAAAAATTGAGGAACATTTTCTTGCATAAGAATGATCTCCCGAAAAAGAATAGTTATTGCTGCTAGGCTGGCTCTGGGCTAGTTGAAGTTGGTTCTAATTTACCAGTGTGTGTGTCTATGTGTCCTTCAGCAGTATTACTTATTAACATAACCTTCCAGCCCTGGAAATCCTTCATGTTTGTTTCCTGTTTTAGAGAATAATTGATACTCAGTTTTACTACAGGTTTCAGCAAAACTCCATACTTCACAGGGTGCAATGAAAGTATTACAGGAGTCTGATTCTAGCTAGGAAATTGCTTAGAATACTTCGTTTATAAAGGAATAGGGGTGTCCTATTATGACAGTAGAGATATGATTAGAATAATTTTTTCCTACCATTATCCGGTTTGTGGCTTTTAACAAAGATTTGCTCGAAATAAAAACCACAACTTCAGTGCTTTTATTGGCAAATAGGGCAATATGGGTGAACTAATACAGTAATTGCCCTTTAATAGCCATCAGCACTCCAATTTACAATTTTACATTTAATGCTTTTGATTAGACATTCCCAGAAATAAGTGTGCTTAAGTAATTCAAGAAATAAGGAAATGCCTCATGAATCTAGAGATGACGTAAAGCTTTCTTAAAGTTATTCAATATCAGTTACCTAGTAAAACTAGTTCCTGTAATTGATCACCTGTAAATAAATAACTACCAAGAAATTATAGTACTACCTATACTGTAATCACCATGAATTCTTCACCAAAATGTCTAGCATGTATCAGTAAATCTTGTCCCTTAGGGAAATATCTAAAAATATTGAAAAAACAAATTTTAAGTATTATATTATAAAATAGAAACATTATATCAGCATTTCCACTGATGGTTTTAAATAATAAATCCAACTTTTCTTTAATAATATGTTCTTTTGTTGTAAAACAACTACAATAAAATCAAAATTTATCCTAATATTAACTTGTTTGCTTATTAACCAACATTTCATGCTGATCAAGAAGTAAGGCTAATTTATTCAGTGTTTAGACTCCCGAGATTAGAAATATTTGGTTCAATTACTTGTTGAGGTAGGAAATTGCACTTTTGTATAAAGCTTAGACTCTTTCAGGTGTGGCTAAATCTGTTTCTATAATTTTTCCACAATACTGCACGGCCTGAATTTCCCTTAGGACACAGAGGCAATTTATCTGTACATAATGAGAATACATGAGATACTACTAATTCTGTAAGTATCCAAAATTATATAACTCTCCTACAATTGAGCTCTTTTGTAAAATGCCATTAGTCTGCACCTACAGGATACCTACTTATTAGCTGAAAAGTTAAAGAACAGTGAGTTGCGCCAGGGTGAGTTGTAGTAGTGGGATCTGTAATGATCGAAATTATTTTCTAGCTGCTGGATTAACTGATTATTTCTTTCCAAATTATAGGTTAATTTATATATTATAAGTTTTTCCTTTATATCACTCTTTGGGCTCTTTTACAGTAAAATAGCTGAAAGTGAAGCTAAACATTCAGAAGGATACTACAAATTTCATCAAGCATAGAGGTTTTAGAGATACAAATTTCTTATGTTTTTAAAAAATATAATGGTTTAGTGTGAAGCAAAAACTTTGCTTTAAAGACAAAATGTATCATATTAAAAGAGGTAGAACTTATGCACAGGGGGAGGGGATTTAGAGAAAAAGGAAAGGGGAAGGAAGGGAGAAGGGGAAGTAAGAAGGATTAAGATGTAGTGTGTATGTGTACTAACTTCCCACGATGAATGTATTCATTGTGTGTCACAAGCATGTACTAATAAATTAACAATAAAACACATAAATCACTGAAAGAAAGACTAAAATTTTAATGTATTAACTATTTTATTATAGCTTCATATGAAAAACTGGGCTTTTAACTTTCAGTTTCTAGTTGGAGTAATTTACTTATTGAGGGTTTACCTGAGTGACTTAAAAGATGTCAGGAAGGAGTCATCCCATAGCTTGGAAACAGTTACTAATAAGGGTGCCTTCTTAGTCTACAACCAAACTTCAAGAACTGAAGAGCATTGGTCACCTTTCCTCTGATCCTGAATAATTAAATCCTTTTTGGGGATAGGGTAATCATTCAACTTTCCACTTCTAGTGTTATCAGATGCTGATGAATATTTTATTACTAAAATTATTCATTGATAGAAGTGCATGCTGCATGTGCAACTAATCAAACATTCATCCCAGTAATACAGCCTGTAAGACAAGGAATCACTTTAATAGAGGGTTTGTAGTTTACAGATAACTAGTAAAATTTTCTCTTACAATTTTGTGAAATATATATTATCCACTGCATTTTAAAAGTAAAACAGTAATAAATAATGTCAGCTACTTTATCTCAACTCTTTTCCCTTTTCCTTGCTGCAAACCTGTAATGGAAGTATTGTCTTTTTAGCTAACCAGCTTGTAGAGTCTGTGGGTAGTGTATTCAATATTTCTGAAATATTTATTTTCTACTAGGACTGAAACTAATGATTTTTTTCTATAAATGGCACAATTTGTTAATTGCTACTTGAACCTGTTGCATTTTCCTTTTAAGTTTTACAGTGGTTAAAGACATGACCCAATGTACATTCAAAGGAGAATCTGAAACACCACTTGAAAACATCTAGCTCAAAAGCTGTATATGTAAAACAGACACATGGTGAACAAGGAAAGCTACAGTTCCTGTCAACATAATTAAGACCTAAAAGAGGTTTTCTACTATTGTTTTTATATTTTTAGTAAGAGTTTTGAACTCCAAAATTAAAAGGATGTCTAGATTAAAGATGTTAAAAAAATCAATAGATTTCCTGTACCTTATATTTCCCCCTGGATTGAATATGGAGTTCCCCCTGTTTGTTTATGGAGTTGGTACTTCTCTGAAAAACAGGAGCCCGGATTAGTTGTAGAAAGTACCAGACTCTTTGTCTTACAATTAAACATGAGCTAGAAGGCAATCTAAATAGCCCATGGCGATTATTTTTCTAATAGTTACATTGGCTTTAAAATCACTTACTGTTTAAGGGAAATAGTCTGGTTCAGGGGATTGACTAGAAATTTTAAGAGGCTGAACTCTTGGTTTTTAATCTCAGTTCATAATAGCCATAGGCAACTTGCCTCTATCACAGGGGTAATTGAGAACATAAATGTTTTTAAAGTTCTCTAAGCCATTTGAATAAAATGAAATGTCATAAAGGTACAGGCTAGTTGTATTACTGACAGAACATTGTGCCTTTTCAAAATAACCATTATTATTAAAAAGCAGATGAAATAATATAAATCAACACGATGGACTTTAGTCTTCTGCATAGTTATTCCTAAGAACAGTAATGCATAAAATAAAGCTTTGCTTTGGCTAAAGTGTCTTGAAAATCATTCCCTGAGGCAACTGAATCCCAGCTTCCCACTTTTGTTTCCAGTGAGAAAACATACTAGCTATTTGAGAAGAAAGCTTAGGTGATTTCTAAATTGAGTCCGAGGCTCCAAAGGTTGGTAGGGGTGGGAATTGTTTGCAAGCCCCCAGACAAAAGCTGAGATTATGCAGTAGGTTCAGTGTTTGGCTTACTTGTCACAATTGGGTCCTGTTGGGTTTGTTTGCATTGATGGCCCCTTAGCCATTATTATCCCAATCAAACCAGTTTTCACAGTGATATTCCATATCCTATTTTCATCACTACATGAAATGTAGCATTGAAAGGCCCAGGTATCCTTCATGAAGTACAACAGGACATTGATAACTGTGCAGATTAACTCCCAGTCCAATCTCAGGCCTTATTTCTTTATGACTTTTTTGTCTAGATCTGTAGGCTTTCTCCCGTCAGGCTGATGATGTCTCACTTCACACATACCACTCAAGATTCCTGTATGGTCTAAAACAGAAGATCAAAAGCGGGTAGGGAAAAAAGGAGTATGAGAAAGAAATGAAAATTGAATGAGTCATAGTTGAAAAGAATCAACTGTCTATAAAAGATGAGCTTAGGTTTCATGTTGGTGATGATTTGTCTTGGAAAACTTTCTGAGACTGGAAGAATTTGCTTGTCTAAAATTCAGCTTTTTCTTTCTTTTTTTTAAAAAAGACATTTAATAATGAACAACTCTTCCCTCATTTGAAAGTTGGAATCTTTTCTGAAAAAGTTTGGTAAGGCCAGGCATTTGAACACTGTCACATGCGGTGAACCAGGCACATGGAGGACAGCTGACTCCACAGAACCAGGGAGTTGGGTAAGTGCCCAGTGCTGAAAAGTGACTGCAAATGCTGCTTTAGTAAACATGGAAAACTCCTTTAATTTAATATTTTTTTAAAAATCACACAAGGCAACCTTTAGCAAAACTCTTCTAAGTGATTGTGGTTCCAGTGATGGGTAAATGGCTTGGGCCTGGAAGCATCTTAAACATGGCAAAAGAAGTAAAAATATCTTCTGCATTTGTGTTCAGAAGGTTAGACAAAAAATTTTTCTTTGTGAACTATAATCACCTTAAATATTTTGATGAGATCTGGAGAAAAGACTGACTCCACAGTTTCCTTAATCTTGAGATTAGAATTTGAAGTCAAAAGTTGTGAATGATTTGTCACACCATGGTATTTTTTAATATAAATCCTAGCCACTGCGTGGCTACATCCCAGAGATGTTCCATTAGTGGAAGCAAACTTACAATTAATATTGGAGATTTCTTATCCACCTTCCAAAGCTTCAAAGCTGGCTAAATATGGTGGCATCATCTTTAATTACAAAGATGATGTGATAATTGAAATTAATTATGCCCTGATTTTCTTTTAAATGAAAATCATTTTAATGATTAGCTTAGGATTGTTAGAATTCACATGGACTCTCATATAACCTGGAATAAATCATCCATGACTGAAAGGAAACTTTGTAATTCCATTTATTAAGAGATCTCCGAGGTTCCTTCCATTCCAACCTAATGGCTCCTTCGATTTTGCCGCTGTTAGAACTAGTTACTTCTTAGGTCTATGTATTTGAAATCATACACTTTTCAGTTCTCTAGATTATGGCTTTATTTTCTTTGAATTTCTTCTGAGTCACTGTAGGTGTCAAAGAAAACTATTCTAAACCTTTGATTTAAATAAACGTGATAACAACCACAAAGAAGCTGAATTTGGTTAAATATTTCTCTCTCTTAATATATACTTGAAAATCTCTTTATTGTTTTATTTTTCAGTCACTAGTCTTACCTTATGTAACATATTTCAGGACATTTGTTTGAACTGTTGCTCCTAGTTATAAATATTTAAATGAATTCAAGGATTTTTAAACTTTTAATTATCATTATAATACTTAGTTAAACATAAAAATCCAGAGCCTACATTGCATTTTTAGAGATTTTCAGAAATATCCTCAAAATAAAATATATTTACCACTATCTATAATAGCCATATAATATAGTCATAAGATCATGGGAGATAGTGCATAAAACTCTACAGTACTAAATTTTAAATATTTCCCTTGTTTAACATGGCTTATAATGATGCAGATATAATAAACTGAATTTATCTCCCAGAAATATTATTTTAAAGGCAGATTTTGACCCACTGAACTATGAGCTGAAATAATCTATTTACTTGTGGCATCAAAGAGTAAATTACCAAAGATTTCTGTCATGTAGCTTTTTCAATAGTTTGTATAGAATTAAAATCATTAGCAGAGAATGACAATCTTTTGTATCATTTAAGCATTTATTAATATTTGCTTGTAAGGATCTCAAATTTTGGTTAATTTACCAATTTAATGTTTTTTTCTGTATTGAAGCTGAAATGTAAACTGTATCACTACCATAAGTTAAGCTTGGCCTGATTCACCGTATTTTGTCTTCATCATAAAATGATGTAGCTGTAAACAAATCATAACAGCTTTAGTAAGATCTGACAAATCAAGCATTAGGCTGTATTTTACAGATTTTGATTTATTGATGATTATTACCTGATTATCATCTGATGCATGTAAGTTGATTTAGCGTGGAAAGTTGTAGACATTCCAAACTCCCAAGACTTCCAAGAGGAGATAAAGAAAACTAAACCTTAAAACAATAGCTGATCAATTCTACTAGTTCCACAGTACTTTTTCAAATGTTTAGTGAATGTCATGATAAATATCTTATCACTAATGACAAATGTCCTTAATCAAGGCTTACAGAAAAATATATTAATAAGAAAATAATAAAAAGATGATGTGAAATATTCTTAGAAATCTGTTAAGTGACCTGAATCCCAGATTTTCATGTTTTATGTATTTATAGTCATATGCTGGTTGTTTATTACAGGGTCAGTTTATAAAAGTTTGCAAACTTTTCCTTTAAGGAGAAATTTAATCTTTGTAAAGAGTAGTATTTTAATCCTTATGGATCATTGTGATGACTACTCAAATCAGCCACTATAATTAAAAAACAGCCATGAAAAGTGCATATGCAAATGATCTGGGTCCCAATAACAGTTTATTTTTATACACTGAAATTTAGAATTTCATATAATTTTTACTTTTCAATTTAAAATGTTATTCTTTTAATTTTTTAGAAACATTTACAAAATATGAAAACAAATCTTAGCTCAGGGATCATACAAACAGAAGTAGTAGGCAAAATTTGGCTTGCAGGCCATAGTTTACCAATCCTTCGGTTTAAAGCTTTACTTTTTTCTAGAACTTACAATATGATGTACTAGAATGTAAAAATATAAAAAGTACAAAATTATTTACTTGGATTTTATGGACTTTTTTCCTTGTGAAGCAACAAATATATTTTTTAAAACTATACAATCAACCAAGCTTGTACACACAAACTTGTACATGTGTGTATGTGTGTGTTTGTGTATTTGTGGTGTTACATAATGAACCCAAGTATAATGCACTGAGCTTCATCTGTATCTCTTTTTTAATTTTCAATTTTGAGATAGAGTCTTACTAAGTTGCCTAGGCTGGGCTTGAACTTGGAATCCTCCTGCTTTAGCCTTCCAGAGTGCTGGGATATAGGCATGTGGCCATCATGCCTGACTGTACACAACCAAACTTTGAAAGAATGCTCCTAAGCCTCAAGAACAGCAAAGATAACATTAGAATAACATAACTTTTTTGTTTCTATTTTATATATATATATATATATATATATATAATATACATTATACATATTCCAGATATTAAATACTGGGTATTTTTAGTTTGGTTAAAGACAGTTAAGAATAAATGAAAATGGCAATTTTTTTTTTTTTTTTTTGGTACTGGGGATGGAACTCGGGTCTTTCCCCTTGCGTAGCAGGCGGCGAAACCACTGAGCTAAATCCCCAGAATGGCAATGATTTTGTTTGTAAAGTTTCTTTATAAAATGAGGCTAACCTGAACCTTTCCCTATATCCATTAAATATGAAATTGCATCATTCAAAAGAGTAGGAAAGAAAAAAGACTACTTATTGTCATACTTTAGAATTTAAAGTATGATATTTGTTATGATGTGCTTGTCTGAGAAATAGCTAGAGTTCATATAATTATACTATCTCTAAGTAGTATATACCATCATTATACTACAGAATATAAATCTTTACATTACATGAATTATATTTTTTAATTAAACAATATTTCTTTAGTTAAGAAATATTATGGAAATGGAAAGATTTCATGGTCAAATTTTCTATTACAAATGCAATTTATTAAAATTAGAATATAATTAGTTACAATAATTGCATAATTTTGAAAAGTAACTAATCTTTCATAGAAACTAATCTTTTAAAAATTACTATACATAGAATATGCATTTTTTAAAAATGTGTGTTTGTATTTTCAAAAATGTGCAGAATATGCATTTTAAAAATGCATTCATGCATTTAAAAATGTGTAGAATATGCATTTTTAAAAAATGTGTATTTTAGCAGCAACTCTAATTAGAGACTCACTTTGAATACACATTTAAAATTAAAGTACAGAAATATATTTCTGGTTTCTAAAAATTCCTTGCTCTATGAATTCTATCAGAATGTGTATTATCACCAGTAATGGAGTAAAAGAAGACTTAACATGAGATTTTACTACTTAAGTTAGATTTTTTTTAGTTTATAAAAATTGAAATTATTTGCAGAGCATACAAAGCACTAGTTGAATAGTTTTTAAAGACTGAGCCAATATGGGTAAAGGAAAGAGGGGAAAGAAAAAATTATGAGAAATGAAAAAAAATGAAAATGAAGTCTATGTAAATAGGGAAGGGTGGAGGGGTGAAGGGCCCACAGGTAATGGGGAAAAAATAAGAACCAAGATACATCATGTACAGGTACAAACACCCAATGATAAATGTAAACGTATTGTATACCTAAAATGTACCAAGAAAAGAATTTAAGAAAAAAAAAGACTGAGCCAATAATAAAAACTATTTACAGAACATAAAACACTTGTAAAAGTTTTTTTTTTTTTTGGTACTGGGGATCAAACTCTGGTCCTTGCGCCTGCAAGGCAGGTGATGGAAGCACTGAGCTAAATCCCCGGCCCCCTTGTAAAACATTTTTAAAACAACTGAACCAATTAGGTAACCAAATACAAGAGAGTTTTACATATAAAGTTTTACATGTAGAGATATAATTTCAAATTAATTCCTTAACCATAAGTCTCATTTTATTTTTTGTCAAAAGATATAAAAATTAATATAAATTATTTTTAGGGATGGTTGAACTGATTTGATTATATTTGATTTTTAGATGTAATTGAAAATTTTAATTTATTAGTGATATATCTAAATAGTAAAGCATTATTTGGGTTAAGACTAAATGTTTGATCTTCCATCTTTTGACAGTATATAATATCCCTTTGGTAACAAATGTGACACTCTTTGAGTGACACTCTGCTCCATCCCAGATTTAAGTATAAATGCATACTTTTATTCTCATGATAGTTACAGACTTACTAGCAGTGAACAAGGCTGTATATCCAAGTCAATAGGTATGATTTTGTCACCGAAAAGACATTTGGCAATGTCTAAAGATATTTTTGAGGGTCACAACTTGAGGGAGTGGTGGGAAGTGCTCCTGGCATGTATTAGTTAGAAGCCAACGTTAAACATTCTACAGCAAAGAATTATCTGGTCTGAAATGTCAATTTTGCTAATTTTGAGAAAGTGTTGTTTACATATAGCACATTTCTAGAATTATTATAGAATAATACACAAATCCTGGTGAAAATACACCACCAGGAAATTTTCAATTCTAAAATTAAGAAAGGCTGTCTTGGGGG